ATATGCACACGTCAGAATAAGCATGTTGTTTGAATTTTTACATAAATATGTGTTACACTGAATGACAATGTATCATTATTTCAACCAAATTTTGACATTTTATTCTCCAAAAACTTATTTAAAACCTTAAAAGTAGACACTTTATTTACATTTAATGTGCTTTCTATTGACATAAAATCACTTTTGTAAATTTATTTTGATGCAGACGTCTTAACGTCTTTGACCCAGATATATATATATATTGATAGGGCATGGCAACATGTTTATTTCCTTTAGCCATCATAATGCATGCAAAATCTGTACAGTTTTCGCATCTGTATGCAATTTCAAGAACCGTTGCTTTATAAAATAGTCATAACTTAATATTTTTCAACTAAAACATCTTAAGGCTAAAAGTAGCTCATAACTCGCCGATTTAGGAGAAAATCTTAAAAATACTGGGCATCAGTCCTAAATTAAGGACTCTAAAGTATTGCTCTGAGTATTTCACAAAGCGTTTCTTTGAAATTTAAAATTACTCATGAAAAAAAAAACGGTTGTAATATATATATATATATATATTTTTTTTTTTACATATGTTTTTGACTAACTTAACACCATAGATAATTTAACATAGAAGTACTTTTGGCATCTATTGGTGCTCCATACCCGGGTCAAAATGACCTGAACATTTGAAATCGTTATCTTTTTTCAAATAATTTAAACAATTCAGAAAAAATTAATCGTGTGTTTTTTGAGTCTTAAAACGCTTGCAAAGGTTTGTTCCTTTACTAAAAACTATGCCATTTTAATATGTATCTCTTCTGGCTCAGAAGAGACCTGAATGCATTATGAGGGTTAAAGGAAAGTTGGAAGTGTTTTTCATCTTTATGATAAACAGTGTTGGTCTTGTTGGGTCACCATTTGATCTCCAAAAGCAAAACCAGTTGAGAACCACTGAACTCCATCACTGATTTCCAGTCAGCAGATCTGATGATGGTCTGTGATCAGGTGAGTCCAGATGAGGTCGTCTCAAGGCTCCTCCTCCACTTCTCTGATTGGCTGGATGATGTTGCTGGTGGATTTGTACTTATTGGTCTGATTGGCTGTGTGTGTGGTTTGTGTGTTTCTAGGGAAGCTGTTCTCAGGTTCATCTGTGTACCAGTTTTTATCTGCAGAATGATTGACATCATTTACTGTACGTCTGAAGCATGAAGTACACGAAAGCAAATTTAGCTACACAAGCTCCATCTCATGCACCGACGAGTTTTGAAATGTTTCAATTCATCACTACATAATGCATTCACAGCAGGGTTATTATAGTATTATAATATTAACTAAAATTACAACCATAAAAATGTTTGTTACTTTAAAATTTAATAAACTTTACATTTACAATTTATCTTGTTTTAGCACTGTAAAAAAATATATGATCAATAAGTCATGATAGCAAGTGTTTGATTGAAATTATTTAACCAATTTGAACATTTTTTAAGATAAGATTTTAAGACTCTAATAATAATAAGACTGTAAGACTTTAATTTAGTTTGTTGAAGTACTAAAATTAAATAAACTAAAACTACATAACAATAAAAAAACCTATACAGATATAAAAAAACTAACAACAATTACAAACACAACTAAATTATTAAAAGTTTAGCTCAAATTAAAGTGAAAACAGAAAATATTTTATTTCCTAATTGTAAAAGTTTTTTAATTCTAAATATTATTAAAAACTATATAAAACTAACTAAATTTATACTAGCCAAATACATTTATAGCCTTAAAAAAAACTTTCTCCAGCGTATTATTTTAATGCAAAAGATGTAATTTAACATTGAATATACGAGTAAATTGAGTATAGAGTTTAAAAAGTCATAAGCAAAGTTGTCAAGATGGGATATATATATATATATATATATATATATATGTGTAACATTTTTTGTATAATTCAACAAACTTAATATTTGGTTAAAATAATTAAGAAAAAAAAAGCCAAAACAAGAGCAGTTTCTCCAGCAACTTCGTCAGAAAATCTTACAATGCAATGTTTTGTAGAATTTTTTTGTGCATTTGTATATCACTGTGGGGGGTTTGTTTTAATGCAAAATAAAAAATTTTAATTATGTTTTATTTCTTTATTATTTATTTGGTGAAAAGTGGAAGAACTGCTTTCAAATGATTTTGCTGTAATCATGCTCATATATTTGGAAAACAAAACCATGCATACTACAGAGTATGTACTACAGACACGCGAGCTAAGTCTCTACAGAGGGTTGCAATGGTAAAAGCATTCTCAGTGTTATGACAGATCATAGATATCAAGAGATCAAAACAACTACTGAACTACAGCAGAGCCCTGAATCTGGAGAAACATGCACTGCAGAGATGACCTTCAGTCAGAAAGCAAAGAATTAATGCTGGCATGACGGATTCAATGCACTTTTCAGCTCATAACCATCTGAATTATGAGAGATGGTTGCAGTAATGACATGCATTTAGTTCCATACCTGAAACCCCTCTATTCGTCCTGGGCACACTTTAAAGAGAGAGTAAATGGAGTAAGTTCAAATGTCCTGATTCTCTGAGGGGACTCAATCTTTTTTACACACACACAAACACATATACTTAGGCCTATTTATATTGGTGCATAAGTTTAAAAATATTTAGCAATTTACAAAAAAAAATTTTTTTAATATAATTTATACATTTCTAAAAATAAAATAAAATAAAAAATGAAAAAAATCATAA